CGCCTGGGTTCCATCGAACCCAGGCCGCCTAGGTTCGTTGCTGGGTTTAGTGGAACCCAGGCATGCTAGGTTCCGTTGAACCCAGGCATGCTGGGTTCCACTGAACCCAACGCCTAGGTTCGATGCCCAGCATGCCTGGGTTCCACCGAACCCAGCATGCCTGGGTTCGATGAAACCCAGGCGCTGGGTTCGATGAAACCCAGGCGCTGGGTTCGATGAAACCCAGGCGCTGGGTTCGATGAAACCCAGGCGCTGGGTTCCTTAAGACCCAGCCCTCGGTTCCAAAAAAAAAAAAAGAAATTTTTGTTTTCTTTGTTTGGGTTTTGTTGTTTGATGATATGAGAAATTGATTGATGAAGAAGGCAAGGCAGTCGTTGGGTTTTTGCAGGTGGATGAAGATGAAGAAGGCATAGCTGCTGGGTTCGAAATCGAACCCAGCAAGCAATCGAACCTAGCATCAAACCCAGCAGCCGCTAGGTTCGATTTCGAACCCAGCAGGCACTGTGTTCAAGCTGGGTTCCTGCAGGTGCTGGGTTTGAAGGTGCTGGGTTTGATTTTGAACCCAGCAGGCACTGGGTTCCGTTTCTAACCCATGGATCTATTGAGTTCCATTTGTTTCAAACTCAGCAGTCGTTAGGTCGATGGATCTGTTGAGTTTGATCTATTTATGGATTTGTTATTTGTTGTGTTATTCTCATATTCTTGCAGGTACTGGATTTGATTTCAAACCTAGCAAGCGTTGGGTTTTGTTTCTAACCCAACTGCAGTTGGATCGAAAGATCTATTGATTTCTATCTGTTGGTTTGTTATGTTATTCTCGGATTTAATATTAGGAAATGTTAGGGTTTGCAGAAGGTGAAAGGAAAGGGAGAGGAAGAAGAAAGGGAAAAAAGAAAAACAAAGAAAGAAAAAAAAAAAGAAGAAAATTTTTAAAGTAATTTCTTGCCATCTCATTTTTTTGCCACGCTGTACATCTTAGGTGTCAAAATGTTTTAACATGTCATCCTTTTCCCGTCAAGTAACAAGACACGTAAGCGAATATTTAACGGAAGAACCAAATCGGGGCAAAAATGGTAAACAGTAAGGACCAAATCAAGGATTTGTTTAGTTTAGGGACCAAATCAGGGTCCATTAAAGATGTTAGGAACTAAGAAGGCACAAAAAATATTTCATTTTAATTATTATTAGTATTATTATTTTAATTAGTTTAAGAGGAATGAGGGGGGAATTCGAGATTGACCTCAGCTACCATCCCGAGAACATGAGGGGACATTGCCATGTGCTTCAAACTACAGAGGTGGTCAAACTCAAGGTATAGAAAGCTTTCTTAAAGGCCGCAATTCATAGTTTGAATCAGTTGTTTTTGGACTAAACCAAGCTGAAATTGAAATCCCAGTCACCTCTAGCAATCGAGGAGGGGTAGATTTTTGGAGAAGCAACAAATTAATTTACCCAACACAGCTTCATCAATATTCTCGGACGTGTAAAAAAATAGTAAAAAACTTCTCAACGTGGACGTCTGGACTCTAAATATCAAAGCATTCTCGTCATGCCATGATTCTAATAATCCTTAAACACAGCCAGCATGGTAGTTCAACCAAACCATTATTAGTACCATGAACCAATTAATTAATAGTAGTAATAATTAACAAACCAAACGTTTTGTTTTGTTTTTTTTTTTTTTTGAATGAACAGAGCAAAAGTTGAATTCATGATTCATTAATTTTGCCATATAATTGGTCCACGTAGACTGATCAAGCCTTTAATTACTCCTGCTTTGGACAAAAGATCAAGAAGCACATAACAAGCAGTCAATTTTATTGCAGAACTAATTAGAATAGAAAGTGGAGGTCTATTTTTCAGATTGGTTGATAAGCACGACAAGGTAACTTACACCACAAGACATGACATATTTGCAGTCATATCTGTTGGGGGGGGGGGGTTATAATGTCTAAAGATATGGTAGGATTTTTATTTGTTTGACATGATATAATCATAATAATATTTTTTTAAAATTTTAAATTGCATAATGAGTGGTTATTTTTTTATTATTTTAATTTTATTATATAATATATTATGCAATTTGAATTTAAAATTTATTATTTTTATAAAAAAATTACTAATAAATTATTTGAGTTATTGGTTATCATATGGTATTATTAATTTATAATTATAATATATTATTATATGATTGATTTTATTTATTTAATAATTTATTTAATTATTATATATTTATTTATTTAATAATATGTTATGATTGTAAATTTTTTTTTTCCCAAAAGCATGTAGTACCATTAGTGGATAACAATCAGCAAAATTTTTAAAATTTCATGTTAACCCTTTTTTTATTTTTTTGTGAAAGGAATGCTAAATTATTTAT